GTTATAATACAGTACAGCATATGTGCTGTCTCTTATACACATCTAGATGTGTATAAGAGACAGCACTTTGGCAACACTCTTTGGCAGTCAACTCGCCCCTAGAAAACCCGCCCTTGGAAACTTGCCCCATAAAAAAATGTACACTTCCTAGACCATGCAGTCTTCAAAATAAAAATTTTAACCTTTGGTCATCAACTACATTTTCCACATACATAGAAATTTTTGAAACTTTATTAAAAAAAACCTAAACCATAATTCACTCAATTAAGAAGACGAGATGACAACGACTTGGTATAAACTTAGAACACAAAATTTATTCAAAACATAAATATTTCAAGTTCATCCCATCCTCGGGTCTTCTTCAGCATGTGTGACAAACAAAATATAAGTTGGCTAGTATTACAAAAATCATGATAAAATATTGACTTAGTCAAGATAATAGTCATTTTAATACCAGATGACAAAATGTGCCACTCTTAAGATAAATTTGTCATTTTATCCTCGAACCCACGACCTCCAGGTATCTAACCTGATGTCTTAATTAACTGATGAATCCTATCCCCTAGAATCTGATCCTCTTTTATCGCTAGTATTTGTGGACGTACCGGTACTGAGTATTCGGTACGATAACGCGTCAGGTAGGGCAAAACATCATATCACTCTATATAGCATTTGCAGTACCTGCTGCTACTAGGGGATCGGATTTATCATAACTAGTCACCAAGCGCAAGCTCGGTGGTCTAGTGGTTAAGACATCAGGCTAGATACCTGAAGGTCATGGGTTCGATTCCCACCCGAATCACTTGTGAATTTTTTCGCTAGTATTTGGGGACGTACACGTCAGGTAAGGCAAACTATCACTCCTATGGTATTTTCCTGCTGCAAACTCACAATTCGTAATACCTAATAATTCTGTTTATACAGACGACCCAGATTAGGCCTCACAGCGGTTGCGGTTGTATGCGGTGTCTCGTTTATAATTACTGCGTCGCTAACGGGCTATTGGGGACTTAAGGCTGGCTTGAATTATGGGTAAGATTCATTTATGTATTTGCGATAAGTACTATTTTTTTTAGAATAATTTACCAACCACGTTTAATTTTGATAAAATGTTAATACAGAACTGACCATACTATTCGAAGCGAATCAATTCATTATACATGTATGCAATTAAGATAATTTCAATTTAATTGAAACAAATATCTTATATTCCTAACCCTAAATCTAACCCTAACTATTCTATTTTCTCTGAAAATAAAGGTTTTACAATAACCGAAGCGTAGAGGAAACAGACGCTAATAGGATCTCTTACAAACCCTACACCCGTATGTCAACTTTCCTCGTCGGTATTTTAACAGGATATGTCATGTTTGCATACGAAAGCCGTAGGCCGAAAATTCCAAAGGTTACAACATATATATTTTAATTTTATAAACGTAACATATAAACCTATATATATATATATATATATATATATATTTATTTATTTATTTATTTATTTATTTATTTATTTATTTATTTATTTATTTATTTATTTATTTATTTATTTATTTATTTATTTATTTATTTATTTATTTATTTATTTATTTATTTATTTATTTATTTATTTATTTATTTATTTATTTATTTATTTATTTATTTATTTATTTAAAACTATATATGTATATAAACCTATATATATATGTAGCGGGTGACCACTACTATAAGTAAGCGAATAGTCACTTAACTTATCGTGGGGGCTCGGGTTCCAGTTACGCGCAGGCTCAATCGGTAGATGTTTAATATATAGCCACAAATAAAACAACAGAAGCCTCTCTATTACACTTGTTAGGGATTAATTTATTATCCAAAGTGGGATTACAAATTGGGGCTTATGATGAATGGTGTCCTAACCTAACCTAGCAACTACTCACGTGAGACCGTCGGCAATGCAGCGTACGCTTGTAGAAAGTAAAATAATAGTAACAGCAAGAAGTTCAACATAAATAGAGTTCAGAATATACGGCAAATAGTTCAGTTCAGGAAGATGTCCAAAATCGCTTCCACTTGCAATCGTCGGGTTGCACTTGGTATTTGGTATAGCAAATCAAGCTGTTCTTCTGATCCAAGTCAAGAAAATAGTGAAGCTAAATATATAGAAATCTTCTTCCTTTTGAACTCAGGAAGGCTACCAGTTAACACCTTTCTGAAGAAAATTCACATTTATCCTAGTCTATCCGACTATAGGACTAAACTTCTGTGCGCTGGAGTTTCGATCGGGATCTCACAGTGTTCTTTAATTCTTCTCTGTTGTGTCTTTCTTCTCTTTTCTGTTGTGTCTTTCTTCTCTTTTCTGTTGTGTCCTCTTCTTTGGATATTCTGGGTATATGTAGGGGGATCTGGCTCCACCCTACTCATTCAAATATTCAATTACCGTATCATTGGTCATTTAGCCTCAGGCAACACCCAAAGTCACTGTCCATTCCCTATTTCCTGTGTCCGGTTAATACATCATTTTATGTTGACGAGGTGTTTCCTACACTGGACCACAGGTATGTACAAAGCATAGCACCACCTACTCTCGGGAGACTGTTAGCTGGTGGTATCTATTAACTATAGGAAATAGTTTTTTCAATGGGTCATTCACCTACAGGCTAGAACAGTAATTTGCATTGTATAGTATCTTTGGATACGGAATAGTGGATTAATATAATTAAAAATATACAATAAAGGTACTTAAGATTAACTAAACAAATACAAAAAAAATACACCCTACTATATATATATATATATATATATATATATACATATGTATACATATATTCATTCATTTATTTATTTATAATACATCATTTATTAACTGTATACTGTGTTTACCGTCGTTTACAGTGGGGATTAGCTGTGGGATGGAGTGTTTCCATCATCCTGGCAATGGTAGTTATATTTAGTGTCTGGAAAACAGATAGTGGAAAGGAGCTAAGGCAGGGTGCGGCCATCATGTACTACACGTTCAGCAGATTCTCGTTTGCTCTGGCCGTAGCTTGGGTGATACTTGTTTGCGTTTTTGATTACGGAGGTAATTTTATTTTTTATTATTCAACGAATTATAATCATCACCATCTTAAAATTATGGAATAATAGAAGGGAATATAATAGTGACAGGTAGGATAGAAATCAAATGAGAGAAATTTTAACTGGGGTGGTAGGAATACAATATTTTAATTGAAAAGCTTAGCATTCAATCATCGTTAAAAAATTATTTACAAATTATTATTTTTAATTCATTCTCAAAAACTCAGGCCTCGCGCATTGAGCGGCTTCATTCCAGGTTTTTGCGCTACATCAGCCACAACCAGACCACTGAGAATAATTTAAATAATGACATTAAAAATACTTGCAATAACGATTATCACCTTTCTATACTTTCACCTCTGTCCCGCAGATATCTTAAAGATCTTATTTTTCTATTTAAATGTATGCATTCTATTTGTGATTGTAATTTAGTTTCCTGTTTTGGCCTCCGTGTTCCAGTTCGTAACTTAAAGAAATAACAATGTTTTAAATATTCCTTTTAGTAGAGTTATTGTTTTTAAAAAAGGGTTTATTAGTAGATTAAGTATATCTTATAATAATTTAGCTCAGGCCTATCCCAATATTGATATTTTTAATTTTGACTTGCCTACTTTTCGTCGTACTGTCTTGGATGGGATTATTTTTCTATTTAAATGTATGCATTCTATTTGTGATTGTAATTTAGTTTCCTGTTTTGGCCTCCGTGTTCCAGTTCGTAACTTAAGAAATAACAATGTTTTTAATATTCCTTTTAGTAGAGTTAATGTTTTAAAAAAAGGTTTATTAGTAGATTAAGTATATCTTATAATAATTTAGTTCAGGCCTATCCCAATATTGATATTTTAATTTTGACTTGCCTACTTTTCGTCGTACTGTCTCGGATGTGATTAGTTAAGTGTTTTCTGTTTCCTGTCTTGTGTACCATTCTGTAAGTGGCGGATTTGTGTCTGCTGTTGATTTGGTTAATAAATAAATAAAAATAAATAAATAAAACTTTGCCTAGATTACTATTAGGTAAGAATGTCGTCGCAAAATGCGTCACGAATAATGTTACATATATAGTGTAGAAATAAAGTTTACAATGATGATTAAGACTGATTGAAATGATAGTGGTGGTGCCGATTATGACGACGATGCATTGGTAACGGTAATTGTGGGTAACATGCCTATACATATTACTAGTATAGATACATTCTGAAGTACTGTTATGTTATGTTTTTTCAGGGCCTGTCAACATGTTCTTGTCCTGGGGTATATGGGCGCCGCTTGCTCGACTTACATTCTGTGCCTACCTGTTACACCCAATGTTGTTATTTCTGTGCGTTTTACCAAGAAAATTCCTCTTTGACTATTGGGGTTTCCAAACGGTAACTTTTTCTTTTATGTACTGATTCATCTTGATAATTATTGTGTTAATAATTAATACAGTTTTTATAACACAATGTAACTTATGTCTAAAATATCGATGTATATATGGATATATAATCAAGTGAGAAAAATTAATAGCAGATTGTTAGAATAACTATAAAGCCTAACTGACATCACAAAGTGGTTATAGTGGGTATATCATCAAAACAAATCGCTAGGTGGCAGTTTTTTTTTATAATAAGCCTCCGTTCAAATAAATTTCTACAGTTTTAAAACTCCTCAAACTTATTTATTCCTACATTTTATCGTAAAGTAACTTATCGAAAAGCCTTGGTAAATATGTTTTTAATAAATGTCATGATTTTGACCCGTTAGATTTGAAATAAAGTGAAATTAACAGATAGAAAACTTTAACATGTTTTCATAGCCTCGTCTTGCGAACACGGGCCTAGTCCTAGACTGAGAATCATACAAAGTTCTTCTGACTCAATGGTCATCATAGTCAAAAGACCATCTTATTCTGCAATTCAGCAATTTAAGTTTGTCCAATAGTTTAAATATTTGGTTTTGGTTTGGTTTATTCGGTACTCAAAATTCACACAGAACAATGACAAAATACCAGGATAACCCATAAAGCGGGAAAACAGTGGGTTCTATAAACAAGCAATTATGTTTTAAAAATAAAAATTAGCATAGGACTTTTGGCTAGGTAAAATGTGATGACGTCATCTTTGTTGATTACTGTAATTCGCCTACCTGGTGTAAAAATGTAAGCCCCACTATGATAAACCAAACTAAACTGTGCATTTTGGACTATGGAGGTAACTCCACTCACATTATAGTGATTCACATACCTCCACTCATTATTTATTTATAATGCCATATATTTTTTGATGTTTTTTTTTTCTGAAATATATTTATTATTCTTCACTTTTCAGTTTTGTATTTTCATCGCAACAATAGTGCTGTCGTATGCCGCTGCATTTGTGTTATCAGTACTTGTAGAAGTACCAACAATGGGCCTGGAGAAAATGTTTTTTCGCAAGAAAAAGTAGTTGACATGTGTATTTTGAACCTTACATTATTAGGATAGCTTTATGGTTTAGTAGGATGAGGTTAGATGTGTTAATTATATCACTATATAGGCTACACATTAGGCTTTGATGAATTTGTTTTATTGAAATTTAGGGTTGAATGTAGGGCCAGTTGAGCCCCATTGATATTTTGTATAGGCCTACTGTAGTCGACATAGCTGTTATTAAATGTTTATTCATTATTTTCTCACTAAGAGACCAGAATGTAGTTTTAATTTAGAACAAATTATACGTTCGTTACTTAGATATTTGGAGTATGCACATCCATAGTTTCAAAATAATTGATGACATTATTATCTAGAGTCACTATGAGACAAGACCTGCGTTCTAATTGCGATCCTAACAATGGCTTTTTTTCCCTTTTCTCTTATAACAACTGTTTTCATGTCATTGTTGTATAAACCTATTATTGATTGATTATTGATAAACCTATTATTGATTGATTATTAATTAACTGAACTGTGATTGGTATATAACATTGTTTTTATTAACAGCCATGATGCAGTTCCGATATATAAACGTCAATTCATGGGTGGTTTTCCTCACAAACGAACTAGTCTGAATGAAAAACAATGTTTTGTAGTTTACGCACCAGTAATTATTTTAAAAACGTTTTTATAGGAATATGTTATACTGTAGTGGAAAATATAAGCATATGTCGGTAATTTTATTAAATCATGTTAGTGATAGAAAACGATTATGTTTTAAGTGTTGTGTTTACCCACAAACAATTTAATAAATCAAGTTATACATCAAACATTCCATTAATCAATCAAACTAATCACAGGCCCGTACGCAGGAATTTTATTGGGTGAGTGTGAATTTGTGGAAAGTGGACCAAAATGGCCGGGGACCGCCAGGAACTGTGCCTTTCTGGGATCGCGCTCAGACACTTTTGATATTTTAAGGTGTTAAATTTGAAGATGCAATAGGAACAATGGCGATACTTCCGAGATGAAGAGTCGATACTACCTCAGCCCCACCATGGTTGAGGCTGAGGTAGGAAAATTTATAAGTATGGCATTCCTAGATGGCCGGAAATGCCATATATATATGTATATATATATATATATATTCAGTTGTTCACCAATTACAAAACAAATAACCAAAAAACAAAAAAAACAAAAAAAAAACAAAAAAGATAATTTGAAATAACTTCCTTTTTTAGGAGTTTTCTAAAAGTCATAAGAGTATTTGATGTTTTTAGTTTACTATCAATATCGTTCCATACATGCGGGCCATGGGCACAGATTGAGAATTGGCTTTTTTTTTTAGTCAGCCTAACAAACAGAATACGAAGCCTATTACATTGTCTTGTCCGATAGTTATGAACATTACCTGTGAATTTAAATAGATCATTAAATACCTTTGGTAACAGTTCATGGGCATGTCTACACATAAAGCATACTACTCGTACGTTATTCATGTTGTAAATATTCAGAAGATTATGTTGATGAAAAAGTGGCTCAGTATTGCACCTATGGTGATGATGTAATGATACAAATAATACTTTTTAGGAGGTTAGGGCCTATAGTTTAACAAGGTAAGTAGGATAGTCACTTCTTCATATGATATTTCTATTCTGAAAGTAAGGAAAAATTAAGGTATTGTAAAGAACGAGTAATATATTCGTATAGGAAATTCTGTTTGACTCTGCAAATTACCGTCCTCCAATTTATAATTTTGAATGTATAGCCTGTCTCTTATACACATCTAGATGTGTATAAGAGACAGGGAACAGGGTAGGAAAGCAATTAATCTCTTTGTAGTTGTTTTGAAGCGAATACGTCCACCACTCTACTGATTTCGATTTCTATGTGATACCGGTAATGAATGTGCACTATATTAACGCGAGCGCTGCAAGTAAAGGGTTTCATTGCGTCATACTTACTCGTAGTGTTGTATTTACTTGCTCTTAGTGTTGTATTTGAATGGATGCTAAATAAATAAATTTGAATGGATGCTAAATAAATAAATAAAAATAAATAGGTGTGTAGTCTTGCTCATTCGCGACTTCAGTGGCAGATCCAGGAATTCAAAATATAGATCCGGCCAGGGAGGGACTTTAACAGATGGGGAAAATGGCGGATTCAGAGATTCGAAATAGAGGGGCCTAGGTAAGGGTCTTTAATATAAATGTGGGGAGGGGTGGGGCGAAGGGGTCCTTCTACTTCAGCCCACCCCATGGTTAGGGCTGAGGTAACAAAATTTATGATTAAGAAGGCCGGACGGAAATGGCACACTTTATTTTCCTTCATTTTCTTTATACCTTTCAAACATTTAGGGGGATGCTCAGTCCCCGGGCCTTTGATCCGTCACTGGAGGTCTATAATACCTCAGCACCACCATGGTTGGGGCTGCGGTAAAAAGAATTATGATTATGGTACATGTAGATGGACGGAATGGCACTTTCTTGGACGGAAATGTAGCTTAATGCCTATAAAATAATAATACAACTCACCAAATTCCGTCAAATATCCGTAGCTTCCAGTTGGCTTTGCCTCTGGACCCCCACCGGAGGCCCTTGGCGGCCCCCTGGCCCCCAGCCTAAATGGTCGCTTCGCTCGCATACGGTACTGGGTTTATTACCTTATGAAATCCCCCCACTTTAAAAAACATTCCGCGCCGTTGATCCCCACCCTATAATCCGCCCCCGCTCTAAACCATGGCAATGATGACCCATCATAGAACCCTAGATTATTAAATATGTAAAGACATTATATAATAAGGATAAATCGATCAAAACAATGTATAATAATAATTCGAATAGTCGATTGGAACCATAAAGAACGTTGGTCATTTTAATCAGATTGGTCAATGATGTGATCAGATCAGCATAATTCGTATCGGTAGTGACACTTTTAACACAATCTATCAATTTGGTTACCCAATCGTCTTTATATTGGTATTTTCAAGCTTATTAAACAACTCGAAGAAAAAGTGATTCTAGTCGTCGTAGGCCTACAATTATTTTGGGGAATTGTTGTTGTGTTAATAGACGTCTATTATTTAAATGTTGGAACGATACCCATAGAATATTGAAATATTAGGAGCTGGTTGGTTATTGAATTTTAATGGCTAGTTCCTTTTTGTACACCGCAAAGCTTTTATTCGGCATTAACTACTCCACTGTACATATTTACAATTGACTAACTCCTGGTTTCTCGGATGTTAAAGAACCTTTAGAGTGGAGTCAGCTCTTAATCTCTGAACTCTCTCTGTCTGCTGTACTCTTCTTCTGATACTACTACTACTACTACTTCTACTTCTACTGATTCAGTGATGTGGGGTGTTTGCCTATACTCAATGTACTGGGGGTGTGTCTAGATTAAGTTATTCCATACTTTTAGAGTTTCTGATTGGATCATAGATAAATTTTTTCTGTATGATTTAATAGCTTGTTTACCAAAAAGTTGCTAATTAAGATATTACAAGCTTCAGAAAA